TTTTTTTTTTTTTTTTTTTTTTTTTTTTTTTTTTTTTTTTTTTTTTTTACCTTTTCTTCTTAATAAGAATTTTATATCTATTAAATTAAGCTTATTTTATTTCATGAACAATGACAGCTTTTGATATATATGCTCGAACTATGACTCCAACAACATAATGAATTAATTCAGTTTCTTTGTGTTTTTTTTGTTAATTATATATTTTCATTCATTTTCAAAATTATGTGGGAAGAAAGTTTCTTAGCAGAAAACTTTATCCTACTCTTTATGTTTTTCCCATTCAAGAATGAGTAAGGTGCTTACTTCTATTAGCACGTCACTTAAAATGGTGGGAGTTAGGACTAGGTTATTTATTTATTATCATGTTTATTTTTATGACCAAAGTTTGGTGACATTAAACCTAACAACCTCCCAAACTTATCCCTTGATTGTATAAGATTTCATTCATTTTTCTTATTAAAAAAAGATCTGTTTTGAGTATTTTTGGATAAGAAACCATTTTATTGATGGCATGAAATTACTATAAAAGAGGGGAAAGCTCCCCATCCAAGGAGTTACAAAAAGGCTATCCATTGAATAAGAGAGTATTAAATTAACATAAAAACAAAAATTTTAGAATTAGTTTATGGAAATAAATGAGCAACCTTTTATATTCAAACTTGATTAATATTAAGTTTATTTGGTTAGGTTGAGAGGGAATCAAAAGTTAATATGTGAGAGGAAATACTTTATGGATGGGTGGGAGAGTGGGAAAGAGAAATGTGGAATTGAGTGAGAGATAGCGTAGAGATGGGTTGGGAGAGAGAAATGTGGAATTGGGTAGAGTGGGTGAGAGAGAAACTTGTAATAATGTTTGTTATTATAAACATTAGTTAGTGTTGGAGCTCCTTTTGGTGGGCTTGTTTTTTTTATATACCCTTGTACATTATTTTATAATGCCAATATAATTATGGACAATGATTTTCAGATCATGGGTTACAAGATTTACACACACGAAATTTGCTCAAGCTATGCAGCCAGAATCGATAATTATCGAAGCTATGACACCGTTAGTAAGGACATAATACAAAGGTGGACATATCCACTGGTACCGGATGTTAAATTCTTTGGGAACTCTGCTTATAAACTTGAAAGGCAGGGAATGTATCGAGCATCAGGTAATGATTAAGTGATTAAACAAATTGCTTAAGTTTAGGCAAGGCTCGTTGATGTTTTTCTTCATGTTACTCAATGTCATCACTGGAGACCGAGAATAATACTCTACAACGAGCAATTCATTTATTTTCAAGTATTTTTTTACCCCTGATATTATATTCTTTCCTTTGCCCTCAAAAGCTCATGAGCTTGTCTTTTTCTTCTTTGTTGCGTTGCTATATGATGCTTTTATTATCTTCTTTTGCAATGCCAATGACGTCTCTTTTGATTTTGATCACATAATTGTTTGTTCGTTAAATGGTTCCATGGAAAAAAATTTAGCTTCCAACTATCTTGGACGAGCTTCTTTTGCCTAGCTTACTTCATGATGTCATTGGTTTCTTTTGTATGGAGGAGCCATGTTATAAACACACTTTTTAAAAATAATATTGTTTTTTATTCATTTGAATGAGAAACAAGAAAAGCTATATTATAAACTACAAAAGGAGAACAATCTAGCTGCCTGAGGGGGATTAGGAGGAATCGAAGAAATGGCCTCCAATCCAAGTAGACCAGCAAAATAGGTATATTACAAAGGGTTTTTTTCACAAATCGATTAATATGTCAATCTCACTTCATGGGTCAAGATCCAAGTTATGCACAAGAGATATTGTGCACTTCACGAAGTTTGGGTTTGTCTTGTATGATTTCATCAATCCAATAGGCAGTATGTTTAGGTTTTATAGCGAGGGTCAGTGGCTCTCATATTATTCAGGTCAATTTTCATGTTGGTGACATTTAGTTTGCTATATTACTCTCAATGTGGTCAATTTTTTTTACAAACTTCTTTGGAGTTGTTGATCTCCCCTTACATATTCCATTTATTAAGTGATGACATTTCGTTCACTTCAGAAATACTGCAGGCACGTTCTGCACAGGTTGGTCCGTTTACTGTTATTGGAGATAACAGCAAAATTGGTGATAACACCAAAATTACGAATTCAATTATTGGGCAAGGTTGTAGCATTGGATCAAATGTTACAATTGAAGGCTCTTATATATGGGACAACGTCACCATTGAAGATGGCTGTAAACTTAGTCATGCTATCGTCTGTGATGGAGTTATTATAAAGTCAGGGGCAGAACTGGAAGCTGGTGTAATTTTGTCTTTCAAGGTATTGTTCCTTCTTTTTGGTTATTAATGCAGCTAGTGTATTTATTGACCGTAATCAATTGAAGTGATCTATAGTACTCACGCAAAGAAATTTATAGTATCTGATAAAATTGGCTTCAAGAGTGTCAAATGACTTAACACTAACGACAATGTGTTCCTTACGTTGATAATTGGCCTATGGCTGTTTACTACTCATATGTCCTTGAAGCTGGATTGTGCCATCCATTTAATTTTTTGTATGCCCTTTTCTTTTCCCGAGTAGGAAATTGCTTTTCATTTTTGTTTTATCTCCCTAGCTTCACATTGGACGCCCTCTGTGTGGCTTGGCTTTCAGGCTTCAATTTTTCTTAGTATGAGCGTTTCTAATAAGAAAGAACTTTTTGGATGTTGCAATTCTTTTTTTCTTTGATGAGAAACAAAGGATTTTATTCATGCAGTAACATTCCTCAACAAAACAGCCCAAGGGATAAGGGGATAAGGCTTCCCTTTTCCCGAAGGAAGGTTTACAAAAAAACCTTCCAATCTAAGTTAATGGTTTCTAAAATGTAGTTACAAAACAACCTATCTTGTGCACTCTAACTAGAAGCCATAAACGGTACAAAATCACAAAAAGATGAAAAAGTAGCCGGCTTGAACTTATCTAATCAATATATGGTTAAGATCTTAGTTTTTATAACTATAAGTTGACTTTGACTTTATATAGTTGAGTCTCTTTTCATTTCTGGTTAAAAGTTTTGTTTCATGTTCAAAACAAAAGTTTATGGCTCAGTCTTCGATGGTGTGCACTATGTATTTGTGGGAAAGTTTTAACTTTGGTCCACTCTATAAGTTAAGAATTTCAAGTGTACCCTCTATTTTTCTACTTGGTTCTTTGATTGTCAATGAGCAAATGTTATAAATTATGTCAAAAAGTTTCTAAAAAATGCATTATTGGATTGACATGCACTTTAAAATTATTTTCATTTGAATGGCTTAGTCAAAGGATCGATCAATTCATATCTCATATGATTTCATCAATCCAGTGTATATCTTTTAGCTCTACAGTTCTTGAATTTCAAGGTGTTTTACTGGGGTCCTATTCTTCTATTTTTGACTTGTTGTTGGACAAGGGAAATCAATTTCTGTGCATAGGATCAAAGTCATATGAAATTGATTATTTTAAACCTGGCTAGGATGTTAGATATTAAACTTGTTTTATGCACTTAGAGATACATGCGTTTCTTGGATACATGTACTTGAGAGATCCAATTAGTAGATACATGTATTAGATTATTCATGTATCACCATAATGATAGTACATGTATTGGGTAGATTCATTATTTAATATTTGATACATGTATGGTCATGGAGAATGTTCCAAAAGAACCACCTATGTAGAGTTTTTCTCATCTACTTTGAAATATAACACATCTCTTCCTCCATATGACAAAAACTTTGTCAACATAGGGTTGATCAAACATACAACTATGAGCAAGTATGTGATGTTGTTAGGTCTGATTTTATATTTGATAAATTAAATGTAGCATTCCCACGCATATGGAGAAAAAAGATAAAGAAACTGTTTTGTTAGAAGATTAAAAAGAAAGCATCATTTTTGTAAGACAATTTGAACCAATTCAATTAAATATTAAAATAAGAAATATCACGTTAATGTATACTGGTTATGCCCTACTCTTTATATATGAACTCAAGGTTTCTTGATCCTTTTTTCTTGTAGCTCTGCTGACTTTTCTATTTTGATATTACACAGGTTGTTGTAGGGGATCAGTTTATTGTTCCATCATATTCAAAGGTATCTTTGTTTCAGCAGCCAATCAATCAAGACAGCGACGATGAGCTGGAATATGCAGATAATAGCAGTGGTATTGTAGAATGTAATAAATTAACTTTAAGGCAGATACTTCCTATTCATTTTGAGCAAACTTTACTTTAACGGGCCATTTAGTGTTTTCTTGAAGATAAGAAACCATTTCATTGAAAGTAATGAAATTATGAAAGAGTGAGTAAGACTAGAGAGAGAGGTATCAAGGGTTTTCCAGGTGGCAAGAGATTTAAAATAGACGAGAGGGTGAGTGGCAAGGTGAATTTCTTCAATACAAGGAGACGATGATCATTATGTTCATCAATTCTCTTTCAGATTTGAGGCATGGGGAGGAAGAAACTATAGAATTTCTAATGAAAAATACTCTTCGTGGGAAGATGATTGTGATTTGACAAAAAAAAAAAAAAAAAAGATTTATTTGAGCTGGAATGTCTTGGTGAACAACTTGGACTTTTAAATTGGTTGTTGGATTGGTAGTTCGACTGAAAATTAATATTTTTAATCGTCATGTCTCTTCTTTTGAACACAATCAAAGCCATTTAGTTTTAAGGTCTTTGTGTAATGAACTTCGGCTGCTTACATTACCTTGTCATATGCAGTTGCAGATACAACGGACAAGTCAAATAATGAACTGATGTCCAAATCGCTGGAAATGCAAGGCTGGCCTGCATCTGAGGTTGGCATTTTTCGGATCTTCTAGCCTGATAAACAATGTTACGAATATGTCAATAAACTCAAATTGATGTAGAGAAAAAAAAAGTGGTCATTCTTTGCATAGTTGTGTCCAAGTTTTTATGCCAAATCATAGACGGGATATCAGCTTAGAATGCTAGTTGATTACAACTAACAATGTAAATATCTCGTGCAAGGGAAGTTATAGATGAGCATTATGAGATTTTTTATGGGTTTAAGGTTCATGCTTTATATCTATCTAGATATCCCATTGAAATTTGCAGCTGGTGGTAGTTTATGGTATTTACATATCTGCCGCCAGAAGCAGTAGAAACTTGTGGAATTCCATGGTTTGATGCGAAGAGAAAATTAAATAGCTTATTTTCAAATTAGGTGCCACAAGAAGTTCTATAATACTCGTAAAGGAGCAGTGTCCTTCGCAACTTTTCTGTTTCTATTAAAAAGAATAGGTGCCATGAAAATGCCTTTGAGCATTGCTTTTCGTAGGATGTACAAGCTTTGTAGTTGCGAGGTTCACCTTTGTCAAAAAAATGCGAGCACTGAATGGATAATGGTTGAGTCTTGCCATTTAATAAGCCTCTTAACGATAGGGAGGCTACACATTCGTCTTAATTAAACTGTTCTTTTTTTTTTTTTTTTCAAAGAAGATTTTTTGCATTTATATATAAAGCGAAGAATGAAATGTTTTTTTTAAAAGGTCTGGAGGTTGGAGAATTTAGACTAATCCTCTATTATGATCTTTTTGTAACTTTTTTGTAAATTTCTTCAACTAGATTATATATGTTCAAAACCTTATTGTCTTCAAAACCCCTTAGCATATGCCATTTTTAATTAATATGCCTTCTGATTTTTTTTTTTTTTTTTTTTTTAAATATTGTCCTTAACTTTATTAAGAATCAGGATAGAAACTTGACCTTTTGGGTTTCAGTACAAGAGGGTAATCGACTCTTAACATTCTCTACTGTTGTTCTCAGCTAGGCAATGGAGGTATAGGGCATGTTTGGTCAATTTGTGAAGGAAGTGTTGAAGAAGAATGGAGGCACTCAGTTGCACCCATTCCTGCCGATAAACTTGAGAAGACTCTGCAAAAAGCGACAGATGATGAGCTGGAGTTAACTCGCGATGCTAATGTTCTTCCAACTTCAGGAGAGTTGAAGTCTGACTCAAATGTCTCAGATGGTGATGATAATGAAGACTCTAGAGATGACTCCATCCACTTTGAGAAAGAGGTTAGAAGTTTCGTTTTTCTGATGGCTGGTCGCAGGGACAATCTTTTGCTTGCTAACTTCTATTAGTTTTTATTTACAGGTTGAAGCAACGTTTCTGAGGGGTGTGCATGAAAATATTAAAGTAGACAATGTAATTTTGGAAGTGAACTCATTGCGGTATGCTATCATCTCTTCTTGTTTTTGCGGTGATTTCACATCTTTTTCTTCCTTCGCTTTTGAATTACTTTATGTTGTTGCGTTCTGCCCAATTTCAAATTTATTTTTTGTTCAATTGATTTTATTGTATTTATGTCGCTGCTGTTGGAGATATTTTTTCAATATCACTTATCGACTGAAAAGTGTTCTCAAACCTCTTAACAGACGTTTTGTTGAATTCCTACATATGCAAGATGTCTGCAAGGTTGTGCCATGTAAAAAAAGATTAACGTTCTCGTTCTAGAAAAACTAGGATTTTCTGTTGCGAGCTTTTACGTTTGAAAGGATTCCCATTTTTAAGGTGTCTTCAATTTGTGTCGTTCAAGGTGCAAAAGAGATTAATTTTCTTTAAAAGAAATAAAAGTGAGATTTCCTGTCGTGAACTTTTGGTTTTGGACGCTTCAGTGACATTCTGGAGGTTGATTGTTTCTTGTTTTTGCAAAATATAATTTCTTGATGACAGGTATTCTCTTTCTATATCGTTTGCTATGGCAGGCATTTTTTCGGTTAAATTATCTATTAGAGATGAAACGATATAAGAATATTTGCCGATAAAATTTTGTTTTTTCTTTAATACAATTAATCGAGTATAAGTTCATTTCGGCTTTCGCACTAATGGTTGGGAAGTTTTGAACCTAGGCTCAGTGTTTGTATACTGCTTGCTTAAATTAACTCTCTCGGCAGGTTGTCATATAATAAGGTGGCTGCAGATTGTGCAGGAGCATTGTTTTATTCTCTGATGAAATTTGCCTTAGACTCTCCACATGGTTCATCTAGTAAGTTCTTTGAGCTGTCTTTCCTTTTGGTATGGAGACTTTATGATAAGCAAAGTTTTAAAGGTTAATGTAAACGAAAACGTTAAGTTCTCATTTTTATGAAAATATTGATAGAAAGATAAAAAAAAATGTCGATCTTGATGAATATTTTTGTTATGGAAAAAAATCATAAAAAAGAAAAAATTCAAAAGTATTTAAATTAATAAATAATCATTTACACTTAGGCTTATTGTTAATATTAGAAACACTTGGTGACATCTTATTGCTATTTACGTTTTTACGGTATAATGGAAATCTCGAGGCTAGATCCATGAACGTATGGAAATGGACAGAAATTTAATACGTCATGATCAAGTAAAGTCTAATAATACCAAACTATGTGCTGTGATGATACATTTTGTGAAGATTTGCGTTACCTGTTAACATTTTATCATCTTGAATTTGCAATATATTATGTCGTCAATTAGTCTGCATTGGATTAAAGCTTGCAATACCATGCCTCGGTATATCAAATGGTTTGCTACCAACGTTCATCTGGAAACTGAGTTTGTAGGTTGTCGAAGAAATTGCCTTATGAAAAACCATTCTAGCTAAATTTTTATGAAAAAATTGGTTTGAGTTTGAAGGGTTTCTTTCCTTCATGTACTCTTTGTTCCTTTTTCTTTTTCTTTTCTGAAACTGCCAAATTAATTCCATCTGTTTCAGGTGAGCTACTGCAAAACACTACGAATATAATTACGAAATGGAAAAAACTTTTGAAGTACTACTTAACTGACATGGATGAAGAGGTATTGCGGCTTTTAACACTGTTAGCTGATAAACTTAACCAATATATTGTACTTAGTGCAAGTAGTTGAACAAACCCCATATCCTCTGCAGATTGAAGTGATATTAAAATTTGAAGAGATGTGCCTGGAATCGGCCAAGGAATTCACTCCACATTTTACTAAGGTATTTTTATTGTTTTCTTGGAAAATGAGTCTCTAGATTGAGAACATGCATTCCTTATTCTTAGAGGTTAATTACGATTGATATAGATCGACTTATAGATAATATTCGGGGCTGAAAAATGATAGTCTATCAGGATGTGCCTGTATTTATGATTTTTTTCCCTTAAGGGTGAGGTGAATGATTTTCGCACACATTTTTGTGTTCCATAGATTTTGTGTCATCTATATGACCAAGAAATCATTCAAGAAGATGCTATTCTAAGGTGGGATGATGAGAAAAAGGAAGCGGATGATTCAGATAAACTTTTCGTTAAGCAGGCTGAGAAATTCATCGAAGTAAGGAACTTTTTATGTCCTGTTATCTGTTTCATTTTCAAATAGATAGGAACTTATTTGTAGCTTTGGTACAGTGGTTAAGAGTTGCATCAGAAGAGGAAGATGATGAAGAGGAGGAATAGAAATGGTGGAATAACATCTGTAGATTAGCGAAGATCACAGGGCAGAGTGAGGAAGTCCATTGTTGCTGAGTCTTTCATTTTTAAACGTCAAATCTTCACAGTAGCTACCTGGTTTCCCTAATGTGAAAGGAAACTTGTTTTTTATTTCCATTTTTTTTCAACTTCTATGATTGTCGATTGTCCATGTCCTATCATAGAAAGAAAATTTTGGGTAAATGTTTAAATCTTACTTTGTGGTTTTTTTCCGTTTATTTATTTGAGTTAGTGTATCACCGATCTTCCACAAAAAAAAGTTTATTTTTGTCTCCGAGGAAGTACACAGTAACAACTGAGTTAAGTTCGTTTACAATTAGTGAAATATGAAAATTCAAACCTCTAACTCGAGAAAGAGGTGCATGTTAATTACCGATGAGTTATGCTTGTTTTTACTTTTTATACATTTGATTTACTTTTTCATGGTGTGTCATGTTTAAATCATCTTTCATTAATCTAATTTAAATAATTAATCTTAGATGAATGAGTATATGTTAGATTTAAAGTTTGGAATTAACCTTTTGTTAAAAAAAACATTCATTTACAGAATTGAAAATCTTATACTTTGAAATCATAAAAATTAAATTATATTTATAATCTATTTTTCTAATTTGAAATATATTTTAAGTTACATTGTAAATTTTGTTTAAAAAACTGAGATTCAATCTATTTTGTTCCTGTTTTTCAAAATTGCAAATTTGGGTCTAAAACGTTTGAACTTATTAAAACTTAGTAATAACCAAAATAAAAAGTTAATACCTATATTAGAGATAAAATTAATATACATATATATATATATATATATATATATACATATATATATATATATATATCTAATAAAGCAATTAATTTTTAAAATTCAAAAATTGGCCAGAAGCCAACCAAATTAAAGAGATCACACCTACTGCATTATAGCTTTAACATTTCAATCACAAAACCATATTTTCCCCTGTGGAAGAGACTTAATAATGCAAGAAAGCTCTTCAACTAGAAGGAAGTTTTCGCCATGAGAATTAGAATCTGTAAGAATTTGGGGATTACATGAGAGATTTAGATGGAACTTCAAAAGTGCAGCGAACAACCAAATTTTACAGGTTATGCTAACAAAAATGGTTCCTTCCATCACCTCTTAATCGTCACTTTTCTTCTTCTTCTTCTTTTCCTTCTTCTTGCTCGGCTGCTCGGCTTCCTCTTCTTCGTCTTCTGCATGCTTTCTCTTCTTTTTCTTCTTCTTTTCCTTCTCCTCACCACCATCTTCCTCTTCTTCTTCAGCTTGTTTCTTCTTCTTTTTCTTCTTCTTCTCGTCTTTCCCGGCATCTTCAACTTCAGGTTTCGACTTATCCTCCTCCATTACTGTTTCCTCTTCTTCTGTCCTCTTCTTTTTCTTCTTCTTTTCTTTCTTCTCTTCACCAGTTACTGGAGCCTCTGCTTCCACCTCATTAGCCTTCTCAAGTTTACCAAGCAATGAATCGGCTGCGGGATTATACGTCTACATAAAACAGAAAAGTCAATCATCCATACAAACAAGTGAGCAGAGTTACAGATTTTGAAATGGAAATCAGACCTTAGCAGCAGTTATCAAGCCCCCGATGCTCTTCTTTCGGTCCTTGTCATAGGCCTCGATTTTGGGTTTGCCTTTAGCCGACCCAGCAACATGCCCTAACTCTCTGCCCTCAAGGTTCCTTAACCTTGCTTCCAGCTGAGTAAGTATAGTGATTCAGACACAGGGTTCCATAGATCTTTAAAGTCATAAGTGAAGAAAATACCGAGGAAAAATACCTTGGCGCGATTTTCAAGTCCCATGGTGTTATCTTGGCCATCACCCAAAGCATCACACCTAATTGCCAATGCAGTTTTGGCAGCAAGAGACCGAGATATTTTTCCTTTGAGCTTTGGAGCTGCCTGGCCAATTAGGGATGCATGGTAGATAAGACCATACTTGGGGGTTGCATGCTTTGTTTTCAGAGCTCTGAACAGAGCCTTCTCAGCTCCAAGAATTTGCACTGTGCTTCCAGGCTGCTTAGCAAGATTAAGTAAACTGCCACCATGGGCAATTAGGCGGGCACCAACAAGCTCTCCAACAAGTGCAGTCAAATTAGGAGCAATGGTGTTCATCCTACTTTTGAGATAATCATACAGTTGGGCTCTGTACTCGGAAAGCGAAAGGACCTGGTCACAGAGCTCTCTAATATTCATCAAGTCAAGATCACTAACTTCAGTTCCCATTGATATCATACACGCCTCCTTCAGCTCAGTCTCAACCTCCTCTGACAATATCTAGAATGAAATATGCAAGAAAAATTAGTACTGCTACATTGGGAAACATCAAGTTCATTTTTTTGAAGCCACGAACACATTTCACTCCCACAAGGTTGGTCAAAGGGTTAACATTTTTCCCACTGGTCAAAGAGATAGATAATGAGATAGTTCAAAACTTGTTCGAGTTTGAAGAATAGGTACACCAGATTTTAAAAAATGGCATGCAACAAGATACAGGTGACATCAAACTTCAACAAAGACCAAATATATAAATATGAGGGGTTGAACTTAGTTTGTTAAAGAAGTTCAAAAGACCTCAGAGAAATCGAGTTTGGCGGCATTGTCACGGTTGCCCATAAATTTCACTGCCTTCGCATATTGGATGTTATCCTGAATAATTTTAGCAAGCTCTGGAAAATGCCAGCCATACCACTCCCTAACACGCATTGCATAAGTATTCAACTCCTTGTCAAGGTCATCAAGCAATCCAATAGCTTGTATGATCATTGTATCCACCTGAAATTAGGATGAAACGTGAATTACAACATTTTGTTGGGAAAAGAGAATTAACAATATCAACAATAAACATCAATAAAAAAAAAAAAAAGGTAGCAGCCATCAATCCCAAATCAGAAAAAGAACAAACCTTATCAGCACTGAACTTCAGTTTATACCTAGACAAACTATGAGACAATCCCAAGCTCATTGGTGCCAAATCTTGAACAGCTAGGCCAGATATGAGTTCGTTCAATTGATTTCTTAAACCTCTTACCAACTCCATAACAGAGTTGTTGTGCACACAATCTATTTGCTGCACAAAAACAAAATCAAAAAATGCACAACACTCATAAGTTTAAATCACTTTCACGAGGAACCAGTAAAACATAATTTTTAGAATAAGCAGCATACCAGCTTCTCTTTAATTATATTTCCAAGCTTAGAATCAGCAACACCCAAGGTTTCCCCATCACAGTTGGCTCGTAAAAACTTCCGCAAGCCTTTGCTAGGTTTGCTGTCAATCAATAACGTGGTAGCTTCCAAAGCTTCTGACATGTTTTCAAACTTAGAAAAAGCCTTCAGCTTCACCACCTGATATAACCAAAATGTTTAGGTCCTCGGCAACAGAGAATGAGGTGCAGCAAGCAAGCAAAAATATTAACAAGAAAGTGTTAAAATTGACATATTAGATGTCCTAATACAGTGCATTACTTGAATCGAGAAACCACATTGAAAGAGAGATTACCTGTCTAGCAGATTCGGCATTGGAAAAATCCTTCCACAAATCCTACATTCGAAGTAGTTTGAAAATCAAGATCCAGATACACATAAGGAAAACAATAAGTATACGCATTCATCAGATTGAAAGCCATCAGTAAACCACAAAGAGTGGACGGTGCATTTTCAACTTAACTCATATTTATAATTATAAAAATTGGGCAATCATAAGATTGAGAGACATCACTAAACCAGAAAGAGAAGTTATTTTTAAACATCCCACCTTCAAATGAAACAAATTCAAAAACAGTATAATTTCCAACCATCACATACCTCAACTTTGGAAAGTTTTCCTTCATCCAAAACTTTAAACAGGGCAAAGCCCGCCGACGTCTCGAACAACACAAGCATATTCACGACCTCCCAAAGACACCTGAGAAATTGAACACCATTCCCATTGAGCGTTAGTCAAACCAATCGCTTAAAACCCAAAATCCATAACTCCACAGTTCCTTCCATATTAAAACAGTATACATATTAGAAACAAAAAGAAATCCAATTCCTATAGTCACATTAGAATATCCAACGAGATACATCATTATCCTATTTCGAGAATCCAAAGTTCCTAGAAACTACAATACTTTAGCTCCCATGACCACTCTAGAAGCAACCCACCAAACTTCACGGCTACAGCTACCTATCGAACTCATTAACGAAACTCAACTCAAAAGTTAGAGGCCATGAAAATACAGAGAGACGGAGAGAGAGAGAGAGAGAGAGAGAGAGAGAGATTTGCACTACTACCTTGACAAAGCTTTGCGTTGGGAGAGGGTAGAGGAGAAGAGAGAGGCTGAGACAGGAAGGGAAGCGAGAACTAGGGTTTAATGCCAAGAAGGGTTTGGGAAGAACGTTATATACAAATTTATATAGCAGTGTTTAAGAGAGGCTGAAAAGGGTTTTACTGAAGCTTGTCGGGGACATTTTAGGTATTTACAAAAATGTTATGGCTATTTACGTCCATTAGTGGCAATGTATGTAAATTGAGTTTTTTTAGGTTAAGTAAACCCATTGTCTCCACCCGATAGGAACTATCGGAGATCGATCTAAAGTAGCGGTGCCGATCGACTTTTGATCAAGGGTATGTATATATTATTAGTCAATGCTCACGATGAAAATGTCGGTTGATTGATTTTTTTATTGATAGTCGAGAATTCAAAATATTTTAGAATTATAAATTTTATTATTGAGATTGAATAATATATGACGAGACTTAAAGTTTAGTGATTAGAATGATTATAGTCTAATAAAAATGATAGGAGTGATCGTTTTTAAGTATTAAATATTCATATTATACTGTTTCGTTAAATACATCAATTTTTTATATTAAAATTTAGATTAAGGGTAAATTTGTAGAGCAAAAATTACTTCGTCTAAAAAAATATTTTATGTTGTTCATGAGTTTATAATCAAGGAACACTATCTTCATTAGCGTGAGGCCTTTTGGGAAAGTTTAAAGCAATCCCACGAGAGCTTATGCTCAAAGTGAACAATATCATACCACTGTGGAGAATCGTGTTTGTCTAATAGTAAGCCACACACTTTAATACTTAAATTAGTATCAAATTTGTAGAGAGTCGTGTTTGTCTAACGGTAAGCCCCACCTGTGATGCTTAAGTGGGCATGCATGTTTTATGGTTCTTGGACCTATTTGTGGTGTGGCTGACCCATGGGTCGTCCATGTAGGCTATGGCTGGCCATGGGCAATTTGATGGCCTGGCAGTTGTATGCCATGTTGGGCCATTGGGTGGGCTCCCCTATTTAGTAGTCATTCTATGTGGCCTTAGCTTAGGTCTATTAGAGGCTCTTTGTAACGCTCGAGTACTTGGATAAGAATTTAGTATCCGATGACTTCGACATTTTGTTTTATACCTCGCGACATAATTATGTTATTTACTTATTGCTTCTAAAAATTAGCATTATCTCCACCGAAGAGGTCATCTAGAAGAAAATTGCTCCAAGTAAAGTATGCTTAATTAAGGAGTTCATGTGATTGAGCTACTAAAAAGGAAAGTGCGATTTGTTGGTATAGATAAGGATAACGTTTGACATCAACATAGAGAGTAATTCAACATTTCTATATTGTAAAAAAATCCACGAACACGTAAATGTTTATAATATAAATAATACACCTTAGCATATTTAAAAAGGGTAAATGTTTATTCATTTAATCTAAATAATTTTTTAAATGTTTTTCTGAAATTTTCATCCACATCCATATGAACTAAATCTAGTGGAATATTACATTAATCATAGTTTTACAATGATTTTGGACAAGTTTATAATACATACAATTCCTCATTTATCGAATTTCTTCTTAGCCTTATCCATTATAAAATAGCATAAGGGTTTATATCACCCAAGGATTTAATCACACTCAAAATATAGTTCAAAACATCGATGAACAAATCACAACAGAGCTTTTCCAGAAACTTTTAATTCATTCATGGTCTAATCCGCGAACATTTTACTTGAAACGTAGAAATTATTACTTCATACAAAAACCTTAAAAAAAAAAAGTTGTCATATTTGAGATAGATTTACAAATATGATAACCAATTTCATCGTATGGTAATTTTTCCTTTATTTTATCTATAAAACAGTGTAAATTACAGAGTAAAGATCCACTTCATTCATTTACAGGAAACAAAAGCACAAACTGACCCTTGACACAGTAGCTATATTTGCAAACTTAGTATTTTACGACTACATCCACGACAAAGTGCATCCTCTTTCACTTGGTTTCACACTGTTACACCTTTATACTTCCTTGCAGCTTCTTTGCAGTTAATGGTTGCTCCGTTGGCACTCGGCACCGGAGGTGGTACGCCGAAGTTCCCGAACCGACGTGCTGCTTCGTTGCTGTCAATAGTTTTTGTGTAGCCATCTTTCTTAGGATGATCTGGTGCGGGACAAGCATTGTTTTTGCAATAGGGAAGGTTTACAGCTTCTTTAAAGAACTCTATAGCCTTCTCAATATCATTCATTGGTTTACTTATCCTCATTTCATGTTTTACCTGGTCTTCTTCCATTTCGACTTTGACTAAGAGTCTATTGAACTCTGTTGGGCGATTAAGAGCAGGGCGACTTGGATGCCGAATCCCTTTATCATGGTGAAGTCCATAAGACTTCACTGGTTCAGAGTTCTTGGTATGGCTATATTGAAAGCCATCCCTTGAATTTAAGTAAAATTCTTCAGTATATGTCTCAGTTGTAGTAACATACCTTGGTCTGGGCAGAACAACGGTAGGAAGTCTTCTTCCTCCGGCATCGACATAATGAGCTGGTTTGTATTTAGGATCAGGGATATGGCTTGTTGTGTTCTTTTCTTCCTGTTGTGGTTCAAAGTTCTTGTTGTCGGGGCGACAAAAGAAACCATATCGAAAATCGGCCATAGCCTAAATGAGTCTGAGGTACTCACTCTTTATGCCTTAGAGACCTTGTGGTTGTGGTTTTTCTTTCTACTTCTAACAGGTTTATTATATAGGCAGTTCAGACTGAGCATATAATCTTTCTAGACTTTTAGCCAGCATATAGCTCACGGCTTCCTTGAGTGCAGCCATGAAATTCCGGGTCAAGTTCTTGAATTGACCAAGGATATGAAAAGAACCTGGCTTTACTTTATTCAAGAAGTTAAGCCAAGCATGAAATTTTCAAGTAAATTCAAGTATAACACAACCGGTTAAAACATTATATCACAACCAAAAGGTCGGAAATTAAAATTCCCACTTCCACAAGTTATTGAACTAAAAGAAAAAATTGTTGTAAACTATTAGCTTAAGCTTTTGGGTTCGACGTTAATTTAAGCTTGCTAATCATCCAAGAGAACTAGTGTGAATTTAAACAAAGTCAATGTGTGACATCCCACAACGGTTGGGGAGGAGAACGAAGCATTCTTTATAAGGGTGTAGAAACCTCTCCCTAGCATACTCGTTTTAAAAACCTTGAGGGGAAGCCCAATAGGGAAAGCTCAAAGAGAATAATATTTGCTAGTGGTGGACTCGAGTGTGAGATCTCACATCGGTTGAAGGGAGGAATGAAGTATTCTTTTTAAGGGTGTGAAAACCTCTACCTAGCAGACGCGTTTTAAAAACCTTGACGGGATCCTGAAAGGAAAAGTCAATATTAGCTAGTGGTGGTTAGGGTCGTTACATTTAGTAAGCCACTCTGATAATGAATTCGGCAAACATAAAGCTAAACCAAAGGTTTTGAACAAAAGGTTCCACCCCCTCAGGGAAAAAGGACGTCAAAGGAAAAAATGGTCCACATTTTCGTTGGCCCCTAATACACAAACGACGAACCGAGGGAGAAAGAGTCGATGCTCCGAATTTCCTTTCGATTCTGTCATGTGTATTCGAACTTAATATGAATCCGACATTTCCTCTACTTGTGGACTTGAAAATTTGTTGTTGTTTGGAGTATTTGGATTGAGAGGAATGCTAAAAAATTTAGGGAAATGGAGAGATCAAGTGAGGAAGTAGAGGAGGAGGGTAGGTTGAATGCCTTGTTTTGGTTGTTTGTATAACTATAACCTTGGGTTAGAAAATTTGTTGTTGTTTGGAGTATTTGGACTGTGTTAGATTAGAACCCCTTGCCCCTTGTTTTTTGTCTGACTCCTTTTTTTCTTTTTGGGCTCCTTTTGTATATCTTTACATTCCTTTCATTCTTTTTCAACTAAACTTCCGTGTCCTATAAAAGAAAAGTAAAAGGCTCAACAGGACGGAATCAATATTAATAATAGAGAAAATTTCGTTACAATTATTTGAACACAGGATCTCCCATTCTCATACCAAGTTAAATAACTAATGAACCCGAAAAGCTAAAGGTAATAGGCTATAGTAAACATAACCAAATCAACGTGAGCATAACTCAACTAGTTTATGCATATATATACCTTAAACTAAACTAGTCAAACTACGAAAATAATCTCTATTCATCATATGAGCAAAGTAAGAATCCCATAGTGTTTGCAATCAAATACATAACTAAGAATGGTTTTAGCTGGATTGAATTCATATCACATTGAATGTAAAAAGAACCTAGAAATGAATCTCGAATGAGGACGATGAATTTCGATAAACAGACAATTTCAGGATAGATTATAAAATCAATTTTTTAGAATTTATAGATATGTTTCTGATCTCTTTTCATGGAAAAATTACTCAGGCAAATATCCAAGATAATCCTCTGTGAAATTGCACCACCATGACATTTTGAGGATCAATTCCCCCCCACTAAGAAAAAAGATAAGGAATCACATTCTTCTAATCTGGGTTTCTTCTGATTAGAGACAACCTCCACTGAGCAGAGAATAAAATGGCTGCTTAGTCATAGATTCTTTAATATGTTATTGGTGCAAGAAGGAATAAGAAAAAGAAAACCCACTTTTCATCCTAATCTTCTCAAATTGACACTACTGTAGATACATCCTAATCCTTGGTATATTATGTTGGTTAAAAGCTTGCATCTAATTCTGTTAAGAAAGATTATCCCTAATTTATCTGTAAAAGCATTCAGACTTTGGTGTTAAATCAATAATTAAGGCCATACACAAGGAGAGGGTTAAGAGTATATATAAAAGATTAATTATTTTCAATCAATTTAAACTTTTACGTCTAGTGGTGACTTTACAGAGTATCAAAGTAAAAGGTCTTGTATTTAAGAATCCTCACTGATGTGTTATGTTAAAAGCAAAGTAAGAGTTACATTTTCATCTATTTATTGGCTGTCCTTCAGTTCAAAACAAGTGGAAAATTTTGGCTGGTATCATTTTTTCTACCTCGATTATTGCAGGTCACCCGTTCAAAGAGGTTACAGAAGCTAGATTGATGTGGCATCATTGGGCCTTTTCTTTGGATCTTAGGGCAAGAAAGAAATAAATTATGGACATTATTCTCTTTACTGCTTTTCATTGGGCTAAATGTACATCAAAGTTTAAAGATTAAAGCTTACTACTACTCTTAGTCACTAGTTGAAGATCCTTCTTATTATCCACCATTCGAAGTTTTCTTCACTTTGTAATTTCATTCCTCAATGAAACAGTGATTCTTGTTTCTTCTTCCAAGGAAAAAAGATTGTGAATCAAATAAGTATTACTCTAATAGCTCAAGCCCACCGTTAGCAGATATGGTCTTTTTTGGGCTTCCCCTCAAGGTTTTTAAATCGCATCTACTAGGAAAAGGTTTCTACCCACCCTTATAAAGAATGTTTCGTTCTCCTGCCTAACCGATGTGGGATCTCACAATCTCAACCCTCATGTGAGGTGAAGTGTAAAGAGATTAAAACCTACCCTAACCTATTAGAGTAGATTTGAAAACATTAACTATATCATGAGTCATTTGATTAAGTTTTTGGATTTAGTGGTGATTTAACACGGCAGTAAAACTCAGCATTCCATTCCCAAATGTTGTAAATAGTTTATGCATTGAGCTTTGTAAATAGGTCGTCTAGTGGTGATCAAATAACTTTCACTTTAATATGTCAACTATAATAAAGGTGGTGGTCTAATCAACTGGACTACAATCCAAAGTAAATTAGAGAAATAGCTTAAACTTGTCACTTTTCAACGTTAGGTTCTGGTCTAACCATCTGATCTTGCTGAGTTGTAAAAGAGATTCAACAGTTTATGATTAAACTTCTACCAATATTCTAATGAGGTTTTGAGAATAAATATGTAAAGCAAAGCAGAATTTGACACATAACAAATCAAAGGTGGAGTTAATGCTTCTAGAAGGTATGGAAACTTCACCAACACGAGTTGCTGGGTTAGCACCTGATATAAGCAACTTCTAGGAGTTTTTTATATCAACAAGGCCAGTAAAATCTTTTTATTGAACTTATCCAATTCCAAATATTCAAATCCAGGAAACAGGGAAGCTTCCAATAGCTATGTAATTTAATAGAAAAAATGGGAAACAAGAATAAGCTAAAAAAATACAAGGTGACCTTTTTTGTGTGTGGTTCAATCAGAGTTCGGATTTCCTTTGTGTTTCTAATTGTTTTTAGTATAGGCATCTTCTTCAAGCAGGGATGGGAGAACAAAACCAAATTCAAGCTCATAATTCGTACCCATTGAAGGCTTCTTCAGATCACGACTTGACATTTGGGATGGAATTATTTAAAAGCAAACCTCCAACAGTCCAACCTTGGATAGAATGGTTGCATCCAACTGCAATATCAAAATACAAACATAGACATAAATACCTCTATAAATTGTTTTTTTTTTTTTAAAAATTGAATGAGCGTTTAAACTTCACAGAAAGGAGGAGACAGTAACTTGTTACTAATAAAAGACCAGGCATCGCCTTCAAGAGTCATTTCTCATGGGTCAAATGAAGGAACTTCATGTTGAGAGGCATGAAGGGCTTTATACACCGTTCTGTCAATAAAGCTTCGGTATGGATCCTCCTTCCGCTTCTTAATCAAGTAAGCTAAACTATGTTCGACTTCAGATTTAACCTGATTATACAATTGGTTTGCATTTTTCTTGTCCTTCAGGATTTCCTCTCTTCCTTTTGTTTCTATTGGCTTACCAAACAGGTAGTAAAAACGACCGGGTACCTTGGGCAAGAGCAAAGGGAGGAAAAGATCCGGATTACCAACCTCTCCACTATCCGTATCCCTGAAATTCACAGTATATTCAACACCCAGACAGAAAAATGAACTTCAATTTACATTTGTAATGCCCGTTTTTCCAAGAAGGAAAATAATAAGCCGTATAACAAAGTCCAAATGTATACTCTTTTAAAGGAGAAAAGAATATATTGATAGATTAAATGAACAAATAGAGGGGAGAACGACCCCGTAGAGATGAAAAGGCAAAAATGTAGATAAATAATATAAGCAAATCATATGCAGTGATGATGAAGAACAGTTACCTCACTTTAGCAGAATTCTGATTTGCCTTTCTGATGTTGTCATTAATTACAGGAATTTTCATCAGATCATTATAATCTAAAATCAGCTGCAAATACGAAATAAGAAGATAATGATAATTATAACTAGAAAGGTAGTAATAACAATAAAATTTCTTTTTAAGCATTAAGATATAGACAAGCTTGCACCAATTTTTCTCTAATTAAACAAGTTTTACGATTTTTTTTAATGAGAAACTGAACAAGTTTCACGCTTTCAGAACACTCATTTGCTAAACCAGAAAATTGCGTTCCCTCCTAAATTTCCATGAAACTTAAATTCATCCTTTCATTTATCTATGACAGAGATGACAATGATCCCCTTCTGGACACCAAGACGACTTCAATAAACTGCATAGCCCTGACACCGACAGGATCAGACGAAAAATATGCACGTCTCTGAAGGATGCCCCTGGGTTTTCAGCCCCAAACTCTTTGCCCATTTGGCTCCTTGTTTGAGATGAGGTGGTTGGGATAGGATAGCCTTACGGCATTTGGTTAATTGTTTTACAAACTCAAGTGATAGGGCTAGTTAAATCCAGTTTTTCTAATTTCTCATCCTGCAGATTTAGAAAAAATTATTAAAAATTTTAGGAGGAAGGCAACTTGAATATAGCTCAACTGATTAAGTATTATATTCTTGACAAAAGGTAAGAGGTTTAAATCTCCATCCTGCATGTTGTGGAATTACAAACAAACAGTAGAAAAATATTAACTATTATTAGGATAATAAGGGGCATATTTTGTCATGAACATTAGTTAAAAGGAGTTGGTTAGTAAAACGTCGTTATAAATAGGGTGGGTATGGGGAAGAAGGCAGATAGAATTTGGAATGTAGGGAGAGTCCAGCTCTCTCAAAGTGCTTGAGAGGGCTTTTTGTACATTGTAATACAATTTCAGTGTTATTTTCTTTCTCGCTTCAAGAATAGGGTCCTATCAAAACTTCTTATGCTTGAGCTACCAAATGGTGAGTGAACACTATCAAATCAAGGACTGGGAATTGAACTTACTTGTGCTATATCATCTTCTCCAACAGCACCAAACGGAACAATTGTAGCCCCAAAACGAGCAGCCATTCTCACAAATTCCTGTTGTTTTGGCCAGAACAGCTTATACTCTTCACCCTGTAAAGTTTTCAGAGGAAAAATGAACATTGGAAGCCTAATTCTCAACCATTATAGAAAAAGTTACAAAATAGGTCATTTTGACTCAACAAAGATACCACCACAACCGACTTATGCCCACATCTTCAATGACAAAGGGAAGTCCTTTCATAATTTTATGGATCTTCTAATTTGGCTCTCAGCTGGTGTAAAATTCTCATTCACAATTACTGTTTATCTTCTTCAATAACCAACTGGAAGTGTTTTCTGTAAGCCTCTTTGGCTTGGGACTATTTACTGTCTCTTCGAATTATTTCATCTTATCAATGAAATGATAGAATGTTTCCCATAAATCTACCCCCCCCCCCCCCCCCCCC